AGCAAAAGTAACCAATGCAAAATCACAAAAATCACAATAGGAAAGGAATGAGTAGTCAAATGGGGACTCACGAATGCGTAGGTTCAGTAGTCCACTACACCGATCCGAATGCAGTAACTAGCTGTGAGAGGAAAATATTCACTCGTCGAGATTTCCTGCAGATGGCTCCGTGTGAGTGATATATTCCACGGTAGGAAAATTATTCACGGCTAAAAAAATGTCACAGGGATTTATTGTGACGTTTAACAGTTGACACAAACACAGAGATTTAGTCCCACTGGTTCAACAGTCAACAAACAGTTCAACGGGCGTAAATACAGTCGTTCAGCAAGAAGTCAGCAGGTCGCGCCGGAAAATTGTGTATTCGTAACCATTAAAACAAACGTCATGATACAATGTGAACGACAGTTACAAAGTGTGGTTCAAGTTCAGGAAGAATGGTAAGTGTGACAACGGATTACAGACACTACAACCTCATCCTGGAAAGAGCACTTAACCGTAATCGTAATCTATTTCACATATTCCAGCATGCGTACCTGCTCCACCAACGAACAACTGATTTCGTCGTTTTTGAATTCTTTCGCGCCATTCCACAGCAGGAATGCTTCGATCCATCTGTGATAAAAATCTGAAGATGCTTCACGTCATCTATCAGCAGGGGCCATGTTTCGCAGCCACGGAGCGATACAGCCCTTGTACTAGCCTGATACATGCGACCCCCGAGAACCAATGATATGCCGTTTTGATGCAACAAGTGAAGTCAATTAGCAAGTGTGAATCTGACCTTCAAGATTCATGCATTAACTTCAGCAGACATTTCTGTCAGAGCCAATAAAACTACCGAGGAATGCAAAATTCTCTAAAACGTCCAGCATTTCTCTTGGAATTTTAAGCGGTATGTCTGAGAGGCTGCAGGTTCTGGAGCATGACTTTGTACTTTGAATGTGGTAGGCGCCTACCGAAAGATTGTATGATGGTGATCAGTTTATTCAACAGAAATTATGCTGTGCCTTTATTTTCAAAGATGTGGGAGATGTTTTCTACGTGTTCCAGATCGACAAGGTTCTCTCCAGCAACAATTTGAACACCGGGGTTTTGGAGATCTTCCGGGGTTTTGCCTATTTATTTTATCAGTGATGAAATCAAATACGAATACAGAGAGTAGACATTTTTCTTGACACCGCTTTTGTAGGAGAACTTTCGTAGAGCTAACCATGCAGTCTCACACACCCAGAAGTATGATCAAATTGGGACCGGATTGTGTTCACAGACTTTTGTGGCATACCCTGTTGAGCAGGTGTGGTTAACAGCACCGACCGGTGGATTGGATTGAACCCAACCGTGAAGTAAAGGAACGCTAAGATTGGGGGTCGTCTATACATATGGCGTTGCGCTAACGACAAATGAAAATGTCAGCTGGAGCCAACATTGCTAGTTAGTGGTATGAATGGCACTGCATAAGCCTCCGATGTATTGAAATTACGTCTTGCGTGAAAAGATTAGGCGCACCATAATTGTTGAATTCAGTGGCTTCGTTAAGATTACAGGAAACCCTATGGCCGCTCCGAGTGCCCCTTGCGAATAAAGGTAAGATGATCCATCGGTAGGATAGTCCCAGAATGTAATCACTTTGGGTGGCCTAATCAAGGCAGAAACAGGGAATTTTATTACCACCATCAAACAACATTGGTAAGTTTCCATCAGCCACCGCGGCCGGATGGAATTCAAACACATGTTGGTGCTCGACAACTTGGGAGGCCTTTTAAATCAGTTCTAGTGAAGTGGATGGTCAGCAGAGTTGTTGCTGGAAACATTCAACAAACAGGTTAAGACATTGATCCTTGTACATCATGGAATATCCAATGATCGCACTGCCAACCAGCTCCTTGTTTCGTTATGTCTGGGAAATAAAATAACTGAAAGCCTAGATGAACACGATTTCCTGGCTTCAACACACTTCAGATTCCAAGTTCCAATATCCGCAAGTGGACGAAGCTTAAGCTGAGTTCTAACAGATCTTCTGGCCGAATGATACTCAGAGGGTCACAGTGCGTCGTATCAGGAAGTGGGACAGAGTGCTCTGAAATGCAATGATTTCAGAAACATCACATGTTGAGTTTTCCGCAATATGCTTGTTAGTTTCTGTCATAGCACATTTACGAATGCTATCGTTCGAAGATACACGCATCAAGGCTTCCCATAGTTTGCTTTGATAAGCCAGCTAAGTAAGTAGGTCGACACATTTTCACTAATTAGACGATGTTCTTTTAATGCTTCTTTTGATAAACAGGTCAGAAATTTAGACGGGAAGTACAAAAACCTTGGCAGTCGAGAATAGAGTATCGCCACTGATAGTAAGTGTCTATGTGAGCAAAATGGGCTTATGATATTTAATGAGGGATTCTGCTGCATATAGATCCAGTACTAAGAAGGGACAAATAACTGGCACAGAGCTGTAAAAGATGGTTAGCAATATCACTAAGCTTTCTGTTCAGGGTGCAGGCACACAAGATACGAATAGCAAGTGCACATGCGGAAACTGCCAAAGTGGGTACTACCTTAGGGAGGCGTTTTACTCCTTGACTTTAGAAGGGAAGATAACTGCCATGCGACGTATTTTAAACTAATAAGTGTTCTGCGGGCGTCCAACAAGGCGCCTTTGAAGTTACGATAGATTTTCAAATGTTGCGCTATCAACCCTTATTATCTGGATCGGAAGAATTGTGCAGCGAGTCACGAATACAGTTCGCATTACACTAATGTTAAGATATTACAGCGAATGCTCATTTTTTCCTTCTCACAGACTCACTGCTCCCGACGAAGTGACCAGCCCGAATCAGTCGGTCTAGCCTGGTCCGGAAGTGTAAGGAACCACATTCTAAAACCACTCTGATTTCAACTGTCTATTCCGCATTTTTCATCCAACGTAGGAAATTTCACAGATACACCATTTCAAAAGTAAGCAAAGGCCAAAAACTTTTCATAATTTTTGGTCATCTATGCCCTGGTAGATTTGACTGACCTCACAGTCAGTATCCCATTAGCCTGTGAGCGATTTTATCACACAGCACGTGAACAATGAAGGTGATGTGATTTTCACAAAAGGATATGTTCTTACAGCCCAGTTATCGCTACACCGAGAAATGGATAAGCCATGTGAACCACTTGGAGAAAGGCAGTAATTTGGATCCCGAGTTTATCAATCTATTCACTGGCTCGAGTCCAACGTGGACCGTTAGATACCTTTAGCTTTTCATGTTGATATCCTTGAAGACTAATGGATATAAGAACCGCGTATACCACCGAAGATATATTCAAGTAGTCTGCGTTTTGAAGCAATTCTCTGTTTGTTCGAAGGAGATCATGATGAGAACACCTGCGTTAAGGAGTTCGGGAAAACCTTCGTTAACTTTTGTGACATTCTTTGAAACAACGTTTATATTCTGGTCATCTCCAACATGCATAACCGACGTCAACATTTCAATACACGAAATGTATGAATTCTGTCGATGTTTCGAGGGGAGATAGACGGAAATACTGGCTGGCCTGAAATAGTTGACGGCGAGCTAAAATGGCCAAAATTGTTGAATGAATTCTTACCGTCGACCTTATTTAAAAGAATATAGATCCAGAAGAACTGATACGGACTCTGCAAATTTTTGCCATCCTCCATTTTACAATCATATACACATAAATTTCCCCCATTTATTTTGTTCACATCATTTCCGAGATCACTAAATATTTGAGCTAAATCGTGGTGTTTTTGTATAGACAACAATCACAGTAAACTCACAACCTTTCTACGTTGCCGGCATTACCTTCACAAAGGACCAACTTATCTTCCAGGAAGCACTCGTATTTGAGGCTTTTCAAATGTGGTACCCAGGTCCCAGATGCACTTGCTTCGAAAATCATCCAGTGGCAATGAAGACACGAATCATCCCTAATAGAAACCCTCCCATACCTCAGCTAGCTTAATTTTATTATACAATCTCAGAAAGGGTCGCCCCCAGTTCCCTTATTTCGCTTTACTCAACTGGATTTTTGAACTCGAGGAGGAGATATGTAGAGGCGTCCGATGATACACCACGATTGTGGATATTGAGTTTCAACTATGTTGTGAGTCACTGCTATCAACACTTTTGTGGGCTACACATCTTTTCAGTGGACCCGAGTTTAGAATTTCAGTCGAGTCTATTCAGCAATATTTCTCGAATAGATGGGAGCCTGGTATTTACGAAAAGAGTTGAGATGCCATATTTATAAAGGCGCATGGATATACTAAATACTCCACTGTACGGATATACCCATAGGAAACGATGGACCAATGGTCATTGGCATATTAGAATCAGATTTCTTCAGTGAAGCTGGATCCGAAATATTTCGTAAAGAGTATATTTTTCAGTATACTTCTAACTATTATCAAATCTCGCTGCCGAGTTTGAGGATTGCCACCAGAGTTTACGAAAAATAAGTACTTTGTATCTACCGAAATAAAATATAAACCAAATCCAGTGAAGAATGGTTTCTCCTCTGACCCCATGGACTAGGCACACTTCAAAAGTCAAGGAACAGCGCTTTCTAGTTAAACATTGAAAAGTCAAAATAATGATGCGAAATTTATTCATGATCATTCCTCGAATGATGGTCTTATGGAATTCGACACATAGAAAAGAGAATATTGGAACCAAGATTCGGATGTTTAAATGCAAGTCAGCTGATCGGATTCCTCTACTTGGTGAAGGCTGGCATTGAGTCTAAAATTTCGTGTTATTTCCACTGGTGGATTTGGCGTAGGGTGTGACGTTATTACATGGTTTTGCCAATGAATTCCACCGATTGTGCCATGATCCAAAATCGGAATGTTCGTGCCACACCACTAACCGAATCAACTGATCCGATCCAAGCTTCCGTGTGTTACCGTGTATGTGTATGCCGTTCATGTACGTTGGGCTTATTCTGAAATTCAGAAGTATGGCACCAATAGCTCGGTCAAATTCAGAGATATAAGGCATGAGGGACATCCCAAAAGCCAGAAGCTTCGCAACGGGCATGCTCATCAGTATGAAGCCACGAACCACAAATCGTGGGATCATTGTGTGTACAAGCACTTCGTGGTGTAGAGACCTGTCTCTCTTTACCACAATATCCACTGGTGTGTTATTCAGAGTAAAGCCTGAAATGTGAATAGGGTACTGAATTGCCGTGACAGCATGCAATTCCCGAACCAGGTTTCGTGGATTAACCACAAAATCTTCGTCAACAATTGCTATGAATCGTGACGATGAGCAACGTTTTGTCAGGCGATTCAAAATAGCCGCCACTTTTTGGGTACCCCGGTTCGTCCACTTTGATTCTAAATAGTCAAACTGAATGAAGTCGCGGTGCTCTGTCAATTCATCCGTCAGTTGATCTTTGGACATTGAGTTCAGATGAATAGGTCCCACTCCGAAGGCAAAAACAAAACGGGCTGGCAAACCACATTCAGAAAAATGCGAAGCATTGCCCCAAGTCATTCGTATATTGTCGCGTAACGTACGTTCACTCTCATTCACCATGACCACAAGTAATAATTCCGGTGTAGGCTTGCACAATTTGGCATTTTCCATAGGAACCTTAAGCTTGTTTCGCCACCTTCTTTGGGGCACCGTATACACAACTTGATTATTTTTATACTGCTCGAATGCTGGATAAAAGTCAGTTTGTCTAACAAATGGCAGAGAGGGTGGGGTTGATTGAATATGTTTAGGAATGATGTTCGAAATAAGGAATATGTAAGGCAGTATGACGTACAGCAACCACCGCTTTGAAGTAGGTCGTGAGAGAAGCCGGATCTGAAAGAGGAAATTGACAATCGCATTTTCACGAGTTGGAAACCGAACAGTTGAATCAACGGCACAATCGGAAAGTTGAATTGCAAGAAGCGCCTTTCAACAGATGGTGATGTTTTTGCGCTGATAGCTAATTCCGCTATTTTTGATCGATAATTTTTCGATAATTTGTATGACGTGCTTCAATCCCTCTGAGGCACGTGAGCTGCGATTTTCCTCTAGACCGCGACTCTCGATAAAATTAACACACTGATCCACTATCGCATCCAATACAAATTCACTGATACTCAACTACCGCAAACCAACTAATAAACCAACTGGTGTGCAAATGGATGAGTGGTGCGTCGTGTCAAGTAAACAGCTGTCAGCCATAACCGGCGTTCAGTAGTAGGCATTTTGCCATTGCTGCTTGCTGTGTGTGTGAAGCAAGACACATGCGGCATTGAATCAAAGAGTGAGCAAAGGAGGTGGATAATATGGTTAAATCAGTGTGAACTGATTTAAATCTGCGATCAGCCTTACCAAGCCATGGGATTTGTGCACCACAGAATGCTGCCCCCTACTAGCAAGTAAGCTATTTGCTAGCGAAGTGGTACATCCTCATCCGGCATTGCAACCGCATGAGTACAACTCATCTACGACTTGATTAATTTGAAGTGCTTTTCATAGTATTCCGTGTTCCAGCAGAAGCTTTTCAAATTGTTATTGTAAGCGTTCGGCAACCGTGGGTTTATCGGAGTGTGAGGTAACTCCAAGATGTCAAAACCAGTCGCACCACCTGACATGCATCTACTTTTGACGCAAAAACGACAGGCTGTCGGGCTGCTCATTAAGTTTTCTCGGTATTATATTAAGTCTATTGACTGTGTGGACCTCTGCAGAGTTTCGTTACGAAGAGCCCTACTGATGACACTTTAAGACAAAAGACTGAACTTTTTCTTACTCAGTGTATTGCACACACGTGCGTAGGCACCATCCAATCATAAATCAATTGATAACCAAAGGTATGAAATGAGAAGTTTAGACTAGACACTAAAAGAACGCACGCGTTAAATAACTTTCTGGTTCTTGATGAACCGATAAATTATCTGCAAAACACATCTACCAAGCATTTTACATCATTGCATATGAGCACTCCCACCGACTTTATACGAGAAACAAAAGAATGCAAATCTGTGGAAGGATTAGCTTGAGCAAAAGCCTTTACAGCTGTGTGGAGCAAAATTGAGACAAAATCGACCGCACTGTAGTTCATACTGACAAGATATCTTATATACATAGCTAACATGGTTTCTGAAAACTGTTAATTGACCCCTTCATCTCTTAGACATATGAGACAGGCATAGTTTCGAGCTCTTTATGAATCTTTATTGCCTACAGAACATCCAATTACTTATATGCGGGGTCGAAGATCCGTTTACGGATTAAGCAGATGCTAAAGTCGGACTAAGGTGAATTCCCCCAGTGCTATTAGTGAAACGGATGTGCTGCATAAAGGCAATCTAATGTCAAGCTCTGGTCAATCTTTATACCTCTGAAGCGTTATTCTCTGATTTGATATTACTAGTAAGGCTAATTAGTAAGCTTCATACTAAATAAAGTTGACGGGAAATCCAGCCGATCTAATGAGCCTCAGAATGAACAAAATCGGAAGTGGACCTTCGGAGAGCCTTCAAAAAATTTTAGTCACTGTCGTATCGTCGAAGAGTAGTTTGCTATGATGAATGTTCGCTTACACCAAATATGATGAGATATTCAAAAAATGTCATCGACAAGGTATTCATTTGGATCCTGTTTGGATCTGAAATGCATTCTTTCATTATACAGTAGTGTTATTTGATTATTTGGTCCCAAACTAGACTCGGGAGCAAAATTCAAATACGGCAACATACACATTTTGAGTAGAATGAGTATAAAGCATCAGAGCAAAATTATTGGACCACTCGGTGTTCATACGAACCTTCCCGGAACGACAGAGCAATGTAGGTAAGTGTTTAAGGGAAATATGTCTGTTTGCTACATATTTGGTCTTGAAACCGATGAAAAAACAACTGCGGTTGCACTACTTTCACGAGCATCGACCTTAGGTTATGGATAGGCTTTTGTTCGCCCTAAAGGGCCTCCTCTTCATTTGTTAACAGATGTCGACCTGATGTAACGAGAAGCATGATTTCAGTTTTTTTATCAAGCTTTGCGCACCCAAATGAACCACAACACCTTGGCACTATCTCAAACGTTACTTTTGGTGCCAGCTGGCAACAAAACCAAACATCGTCACAGCCACAGTTTTGCAGCTACTCTGCGGTTAAAAATAGGTGTGTTTCTACCCTATTCACAGATTTTAAGTAGTCTAATTTGATAGCGAAGAAATTGTTGCTCGAAAAAAGGATGAATTTATATTATTTTGCCAGTTGTGTAGAAGCGATGTATACCATAGCATTTAAAATGGACGATCCAAACAATGATGGATTTTGAAATGGGTATTCTAAATATACGTCACATAGTCAAAAAACCTGTTCTGGAATGCCTCAAACCACCTAATTGCTGCTCACTGAACAGGTGCTCTCCTGTTTGAATTTCAGGTGAGTAAGAGCACGGAGAATGAGCTTTCTCGGTAACCCGGTATGTACAGCACCCGTTTGGTGAGCGAGTATTCGGTGATCGATTGGTCTGAAATGCTCTTGAAGATAGGTTGATTGTTGAGGTTCCTGATACGGAACTTTGAGTGACGCGTAGGTTAGACAATCCCGAATATCAAAAAGAAGAATTGGGTTTGCAATTCTACGGTACTATTTACACAAGAGTAAGCTAATGTGTACAGCAAACCTCAATTGTTCACGTTCGTAGTGTCAACAAGTTCACAGGTCTGTCACTGACCGGCGCGTCCGCACACCAAACGACGGCGAGCTGAATTATGGCTCAATAGCGTGGGTTGCGGTCGTCCCTTCCGATGACGGTCTCGTGATTCTCATTGGACGTGTGATCACACGGAACCTACCAGAAAACATGTCAAGGCAGGCTCAGCAAACGGGGCATGAGCGTACATGGGTGGGTCGGTCAGCAGCGCACATTCACACACACTCACATGTCACTACACAAGTGTCGGAAAGGACGGTCTCTGTGGCAAGGCGAGTGGCGGGTATAAATAAGCAAAACAACTGGAAATCAGAAGTACACAAGCGGAGTAATCGAATGAAAGAGGGGAATTACACTAAGGTCAAGTTAGATCCAACACCGACAGACATCTATGATGATGATTAACCAGCTGTAACTTACAAGGACCATGAGCGAATCTCCAGTGCTTTTACACAATGGTTTTCCTGATGCCATCAAGAAGAAGAGACTTTTGAGTGTATTCATGGTTAGAATGTGTAGATGATGCAATCGGGAGAATCTGACCAATCACCGAAGGATGTGAAGTTGCGTCACAATCAACCGTCTTCGGCATACAATAACACGTGTCATTGTAGATGCGCCGGCATTTAGTAGTGTTTACACTAACATGAAGGAGCGTGACTGGATATTCGTTAGTTACACAGACACATGTGCTTAACAAAAGATACTGTTAATTTTTCAGGCCTGATCAGGTTACCGAAAACTGATGACCATCTGGCGAGTGTAAGTGTAAGTGTATATTTATAGTTTGCAGCACCAAACCCGTTTTCATTTTTTAGGAAACAGGGTTGAATATGTCAGCGAAATTTATGGAATTTTCCCTCGTGGAACTCCAAGTAGTCATGTAAGTCTTATAAACGCACAATAAAACTGCAAAAGAAATCCGGATAGGGTATGCGGCACGGTGCTTCCCCTTAGATATTGTCAACTCTCAAAATGGTACAGATTGATACTTTAGATCAAAGAATACCAGGAGAGCATTATGTCAAAACTTGAGATACCTGTCCGAGTTGTTAGGGTCGTAGTTCATGGACATCTGGGTATACCAATGTCATTGGCTAAATGGGTGACCAAATAGCTGAATACATTCACGGTACAAGACCTTCAAGTTCATTATGCCGCATTTTCAGAGGTAGTTCCGACAGTTCGAGGTGAATTGTCACTGTTTATGAAACACAGCTGCAGCAACATAGTCCCGAGACTCAATAGCAGTCGGTACGACACTCATGGTCTCCAAAACCGAAGTGGTTTAAGGATTTATAATTCAGCGGTAAATGATATCGTTAGTGTTTTGGGACTAATTACCTCCAAAAGGAGCAAATTATTAATGCAGAATATTCGTGTAAGGTATGATACCGATTGAAGAATGCACTAAAATAAAAAGGGAGAGGTTGTCATGAAATGTTCCTCGTTCTTCGGGAAAACGTGCCCACTGACAAAGCTTACGATGTTGTGATTTTATTGAGCAGATCGTCTACCGCCCGCAAAACCTGTATTAGTTTGAAATTCGTCACATCGGAGTTATCTCCCCTTCCGGAGTCAAGGAGTAAAGAACAATCCCTAAGGTATTTCTCCTGTCTATGGGGGATGCATGTATACCCCCTTTTCGCAGTTTCACACACGAGCAGCATTTAGAAAGCAACCGATTATATTATTGGATGCCCATAAGCTTCCCCAAACATTTGAGGCTAAATCGGTTACGGAGTGCTATCTGCCATTATACGAAAAGCCTTACTTAAAGCTCTTCACAGCAGAATAGTCAACCTATAGAGGGCATACGAACCACAATTTGGAAGGCAACTTATCTACTAGAAACTGAACTGCGGTGGTCATCGCATGGCCGTCGCTGTTACCCTGCGACAAGGCTTTTTAGCCGAAGGCTTCCGCTGGTAACCCTACTCAGTCTTCATTGGTGGTATGTCAGCCTGCACACAAACACGAACGGTAAAAACACCGTTAGCTTCGTGCTGTACTACCAGTCGGGCCTTTCACGTGCCGCATACGGCAGCGCAAACACGCAAAGTGCGTGCCGCTGAAACACTGGTCAAGCCTCATCCTGTCTTTTTTAACGGTCATTGTCCTTCAGATTCGACTTATAAGCAGATCACTACTGTTCTCAAAAGAATCACCTGTTGGCACTAGCTTACACACCTGTGTCGATTTTAGCCTGTGCTTCAGGCTATCTAGACTGCTTTGTAACAGGCTTTGTTATGTGTGATCAGCGATCTTCCACGGACACTTGAAAGGCATTTGCCGTGTTTCCGAAATGTCATTGCTGGTTCGGGGTACAGTAACCGAGCTCATCACAGTATCTTTTACCCTCACTGGTATCACCCATGTGTGCCAGGTGATTCCCCAAAACTTGGTGCAATTCGCGCCGGCGTTGGATAGTTCTTAAGTGCTCAATCAACGCCTACTTGCTTAACTGGATTCCCATGAAATGTTGTCTTTATGCCATCTGTTTGTCCGATTCCGGAAGGGCCCACTTTGGCAGTTTCCGCATGTGCACTTGCTATTCGTATCTTGTGTGCCTGCACCCTGAACAGAAAGCTTAGTGATATTGCTAACCATCTTTTACAGCTCTGTGCCAGTTATTTGTCCCTTCTTAGTACTGGATCTATATGCAGCAGAATCCCTCATTAAATATCATAAGCCCATTTTGCTCACATAGACACTTACTATCAGTGGCGATACTCTATTCTCGACTGCCAAGGTTTTTGTACTTCCCGTCTAAATTTCTGACCTGTTTATCAAAAGAAGCATTAAAAGAACATCGTCTAATTAGTGAAAATGTGTCGACCTACTTACTTAGCTGGCTTATCAAAGCAAACTATGGGAAGCCTTGATGCGTGTATCTTCGAACGATAGCATTCGTAAATGTGCTATGACAGAAACTAACAAGCATATTGCGGAAAACTCAACATGTGATGTTTCTGAAATCATTGCATTTCAGAGCACTCTGTCCCACTTCCTGATACGACGCACTGTGACCCTCTGAGTATCATTCGGCCAGAAGATCTGTTAGAACTCAGCTTAAGCTTCGTCCACTTGCGGATATTGGAACTTGGAATCTGAAGTGTGTTGAAGCCAGGAAATCGTGTTCATCTAGGCTTTCAGTTATTTTATTTCCCAGACATAACGAAACAAGGAGCTGGTTGGCAGTGCGATCATTGGATATTCCATGATGTACAAGGATCAATGTCTTAACCTGTTTGTTGAATGTTTCCAGCAACAACTCTGCTGACCATCCACTTCACTAGAACTGATTTAAAAGGCCTCCCAAGTTGTCGAGCACCAACATGTGTTTGAATTCCATCCGGCCGCGGTGGCTGATGGAAACTTACCAATGTTGTTTGATGCTGGTAATAAAATTCCCTGTTTTTGCCTTGATCAGGTCATCCGCATTACGTTGACAAGGTGATTACATCCTGAGAATATCCTGCCGATCGACCATGTTACCTTTATTCGCAAGGGGCACTCGGAGCGGCCATAGGGTTTCCTGTAATCTTAACGAAGCTACTGAATTCAACAGTTATGGTGTCCCTAATCGTTTCACGCAAGACGCAATTTCAACACACGGGAGGCTTATGCGGTGTCAGGCATACCACTGACTTGCAGCGCTGGCTCCGCTTGTAAGGTTTTTATGTGTCGACAAAATCGAATTGAACTATATCTCGGAACTTCATGTGCTCGTGTTTCAGCATAATTTCATCTGCTGTCCGGTTTTGTAGCCTCCGTCCTACGACAAAAAACACACGAGTTTTCATCCCGCTGTTATCGTATTATGTCTTATTTCCCCATGTTTTGCGGATATGGTTTCGGACAGCATGGTTATCCTAAGTGGTCTTGAAGAAAACAACAAGTTCCGGCGGAGCCTCCTTGTTACAAAAATTCGAATCTTCCATCAGCAATGTCAAGTTATTCTGCCATTTCTGTAGGTTCGTGTCAAAGTTGTTCATCAGATATGTCTCATATGTTTTATAAAATTCGACGCCGCTCGGGTACTGAATGTGAATAAACTCCGGTATCTGGATCTTCTGTGCGTGATAGGTGTATAAGAGTAAAATCATGTAGGGTCCAATGATGAATATTGACCAGCGATCCCATGGAAGAGCCGAATTCGAAGTGCTTTGCTTCAGCCCCTGAGAACAAGTGAAGCGTAAAACAGACGACCTTTTCACATGATATACGACTACTACAGCTCTTAAAATGAATGTGTCAAAATTTGAAAGACAGTTTTTCAAATCTGGATGTTTCAACTCTTCGGTATAAGCCGGGTGATCAAAACATAGTTTATCTATGATTCATAAGTGCGCGAATGCTATGATAGTTGAACAATATAACGTGAAGATACGGCGTCCGGTCTTAGGAAACATATTTCTAAGCAAGTCTATTGTTGCACAGTGTTACTGTTGGACCTAAAAACGTCATCGTCTAAACAAGCAAAAAAGACGCGTCTTTAAACATCGATTAACTTGACAGCTTTGGATGTGCCAAGCCTTTACAGAGCTAGGAATAACATCTGCCAGGGAAATCTACACCAACCTCTCTAGAGTTGCACAGTCAAAAAATATGGTGACTTGTACTATAAAGAGAAATCTGACTGCCGTATCAACTGTCTACTGACGCTAGCCAAATAATCAACAGTCAAATCTATTCACGTATGAACAGAATTTCGACTTCTGTTCACGCATTCGTGATGTGCACTACGCGATATCTAGAGGCCGCATTTCGACGATAGTATCAGATTCTTTTCCGGTCCAACTGTTCACTGGAGTGCAAAATCTCGATTGCTTCCTACATTATTTAAGCGTTTAACAGCGATATAGCACTGTGTCGTGCTATACCATGGTAGCCGAACCCACAAACCATTGGTTATTCAATTCTTACATTTCCTTTTGGATACTCCTGTTCACCGGGGTACATCTTGAAAACCATGCAAACTGCTCTTGTAGTCTGTGTTTCCTTGAACTCAAATAGTTGATTACTCTTAAAAGTCCAGTGGAAAATGCAGTAACAAATGCAAATATGACCTTGAGATATAGCTGATAGTGACTAGATGAGTCTAAATTGTACCAAATCAAATTGAGCTAGGCTTTCCGAGCGAGGTACCCTACTCACCCGCAATCACCTTCAACATGATAATAACATAATTAATAATAATAATAATAATAAATAATAACATAAAGTCATGTTTACGATTATGACATACCCACTGTAACCAAAACGTACCATGAGCGAATCTGCAGACAATGGTGCCATTTTTAAGATCCACAGGTGAAAGAATTTCAAGCGTACCTTTAATTAGGATGTGCCAGTAATGCGAATGAAATATGCTACCGGACGACTCACCTACCTAACTCAACCACCCATCTTCGGCTTTGAGTGAAAGATCAATGTGCCATTTGAGACTTACTTGACAGTATTTGTTTTCATTAGTACAGTGTAATTTGGTGCAATCACCTTAAATGTCACACAAAGATAGACCAACGCCCGTTTTCTTCTCATGAAACAAACGTAGTTAAATTTACGTAATCACGAGGCCTACGTTCTGGTGGCTTTGATGCGTTTTGTTAATATGTGGTTCGCTCAGTTGAGTTTCGGCATGCTACGAGAGGATCTGTATGTATGTATTTGATTTGCATGGGGCCCATACACTCAATTGTATGGTGTTTGGTAGGCATGAAATATCTAAGTGTAAGTTGCCCGTGGAATAAAGTGTGTTTGGACCCTGTACTAACGTTCAGCGATTCACACATCAAAGAAAAACCGAAAGTTGACTGCTGCAAAATTTTATGATGGTGCATCTGAACGACGTCAGGTCACCTCCTATCTGACATTCGTTGAAGAGCATGCATGCACGGAACGCCTAGTGTCCCGTAAGGATTAACCACGGGAGTCAAGTTGATATGATTTCCATTCGAAAACGCCCAACCACGTCCGTGGAAGTTCAAGCTTAGTCGCCGGTGGGGCTTAAAATAATTCTGAGATCCTCACGTAGCCCTCCCCACTGACTTCCGTTGACGGTAGATTAGGCGTCTCTCCCAGCTACCGAAGTCTGGTCACCCCGTTCACTGGCAGTTCGCAAGTGCAGCCTGCAGCCTGATAAGTAACGGTGGCATTGAGGTTTTCATCTTTACGTTCGGGAACGAAATATGGGCCACAAAACTAAGTGAACATCGTAAGCAATGCTGCTCTTTTAGCTGATTTAAAAGTTTGAAGATAAGAATGTTCGGGGTTTTTTACAAATTGCACATCAAGGAATGTAGACAGGGACAGTTTATATATCATTCATACAACTGAGCTGTTGGTGCGCAAATTCGTACACCTTGGAATCTACCTAAATCTTACGTGACCAACCCAATTCTCGACCCCAAGCTTCCAGGCAGTTTCTGGCACGCTACGTTCAACCAAGAGCCATTCCACTGTTTCTTAATTGACATTTATGGCGTTTAGCTAGTTATTCATTTCCAGGAACGTCAAACGTTCTAGGTACCTCCACAGTGTGACTTAGATTTCGAAACAATCCACGAAATTCCCTGGTTACATGTGCTCACATGTAAGGTGGTTTGATACCAGAACCATCATAAAAAGTCAAAATCCTAACTACCATCCTAGCCATGTTAGACTAGATGCTCGGTGGAAAACTATCAATGGAAAATACATCAGATGCAATAAATTATCCAATTCGGCAAATCAAGTTCTCTATAGCGGGATAATGATGTTAAAGTTGTGTCACCCCAACCTGATTTTCCCACACCGTTAAATAAAAGCAAGAATAGAATATTCATGGGTCTGCTTAAAACCATTAGAAAGGGAACAGCTGTTTTCAACTTTCTTGGGACGCATCATATAGGTGCAGCTTCTTCGATCGTGTCATCCTTACGTTCTTCAACCTTCGCGAAATACGCTCATTTGCGTATCAAGTTGGTTTTTACAGAAAACCCAACTAAATCACGGCCGAACCTCTTGTCTACGATATTTTCGTGTTGCATATAGTTTCGATGCAAGTAGTAAATACATAATGTCGACATGATGGGTCTCAAGAAGTGCGAGAATGCTCATGAAATGTCAAAGAGATTTCTAATAACCTTAAAAGTAGCTTGGCCCCTCGAAACAGTGTTCTAAGTTATGTGGGATACCAGGCCAACCCAATTATGAGGGGGCCCTTGCCCATTAAATTCAGTTGAATAACAAGCGGAGTAGCGTAGTGCTTCCAGTCTACGGCATGTGTATTATGTCTATACCATACTTGTATGTTTTGTAATCAGATCGACACTGGTCCCCATGTTCCCCTTGACCATTAGTCCACTGCGTCGCAAATTTGCGCGAACTTCGTTGGTTTTATTTGCTTCGTTGTACATAAGCAGCTGTTTATTATTACCAGCTGCAATAGCGCGTGATTCTAAAATGAAGATCACGGGAACCAGATGTAACCATATAATACACTGCCGACTTCAAACGCGGCGTTCGAGTGAAAAACGTGCCTAAATGCAGCACCCTATCATAATCAGGCATCGAATCAGAAACATATCTCCACTAATATTTCATCTATTATTGTCGGTAGGATAAGCTGGTATTCTTTGCTTATCGAAGCTTTGGAGGCATAGAAGTGTTCGCGGCTTTCTTCTTAAATGAACATTTAAGTGTCACTATTGCTTATCGTCGCTGTCACTTATTATCCATACAACCACCATCACTTCTATCTTGGCTGTATATTTCCTTCATACTCTTGGTGATTTGAGCCACAAATTTCACTCTCTTGCGAAATCAAGAGCTCCGTTCTTTGGTTTCTTGTCTTTATTTCTTGAAGCACTTAGCTGCTCATTTTATACTGCTCTATGAGAGAGACTGTCAAAATGATTCGTCCGCCAACAACTGTATCTGCTGTGCCTAAGTATTGCGTTTGTGTCGTTTCTGTCTGTTGTCGTACCTGAAACTGTCAGGAATTTCAGGTATGCCCGTGCAGTTGTTATACAACAGTCGTAAGAAAACCATCTAACACAGGCGCAGAAGCTCCACTGGGGAACCCAGAGAGATTTTGATGACGACTGAGGTTCTTTCAGGTCACAACCTGTTAGTGTACAATGGTGCACTACATCCAGCACTTTGGAACAATGCATAAGTGCTCCCTTTGATGACATCGAATAACTTCTTGCTTTCATGAAAGTTTATCGTATGAAGCAACAATAACCACAGACTTAGATACTCACTAGCTACCTTAATCTACCTCATTCCTGGTCCGGCTAAGAAGCTCTTCCCTGTTGTCATTATTAGACGATTCGTGAGCAATCGCATGTTTTGTCACCAACAGCAAACTCAGGTCTGTATCTAAACATGAATTCACTGGGCAATCTTAGGAAACAAAGATAACTTCCAGTTGTTGCATTCAGCATAATCTCCAGTCGTTGTACTTGCAAGTGTGATGCAAGCGCAAAGTTACCTGCTTCAAAACAAAGTAATTTTGCTGAAAAAGGCTTCTTTAAGCTGATGAATTTTCCTGATCGATTTACCTTCAAAGTTGTTTTAAACGGAATGGCAGGGTGATTTTTTCGCATCTTGTGCTTCGTTCTGATTTGACCGGGGTGTTGGGCAATTGGAAATCTTGTAAGCTGTCGTAATTTTCGATTACTATTCTTCTGAAACATTTTTGTACTTTTGAATTTGTAAGGAATGGAAAAATTGATCTCATGGTCATCTGAAAAGATGAAGAGACAAATAGGCTGATAGTAACTGTTTACCATTAGAAAGAAACATTATTTTATTA